TTTTTTTTTTAACTCTCATCCCTGTCACTGCTGTCACTTTCAAAAGGTACACCTTTGTACCTTATTTATCCCTAAAGGGTACATATTAGTATCTAAATCAGGGGTCTCCAAACTCAGTCCTGGAGGGCCGCTGTCCTGCAGAGTTTAGCTCCAGTTTTCCTCAACAAACCTGACCGGAATTGGAGACCCCTGATCTAAATGGTACATAGTAGTACCTTGTGAAAGGGTACTGCAACAGAGACAGCTATTGTATCTTTTTTTTCTGAGAGTGTATTGAATCAATTTGAGTGTAGTATTTACTCAGTGTAGTATTTAATCAAGCCCACTTGACAAACAGATGAGTCAATAAATTTGTCAATAATATTGCATTATTGCATGCAGTCACTTACTCATTCATACACACCTTGGCAAGGACAGTCAGTGCACAGTGCAGGGGGTTAGATATGGAGATATGGAGAGGGAGCCAGAGACTAAATGGAATCAGTGCATGAAGGAGGAGGAGTTTAGCCTTGGAATACCTTGGTAACAAGCTCAGTGTCTAGGAAAGGAAAGGTGGGGGGACACGGCGGCTCCTGAATCACTGTACTGACTGTGACTGTGATATGTGGCACGTTGCCGCCTAATACGGCACTGGATCGAGTGCAAAATTTGTTTGATTAATGTGTCAGTCTTGATTAGCGTTGCACGTAACCACTCAAATTGTGTTTTTCTTGAGCAGTTGAGCCTCTTTCCCTGTCAGAACCTTGCAAGCTTTACAGTCTGTCTTTATTCCTCAACACATCACTGATTCTTGCTTTTTAAGCAGGAGAGAGTGTGCAAGCAAGAGAAAAAAGAGGGAGAAGGCGAGCGAGGGAAGGAGGGAGGGAGAGCGAGAGGAGGGGGGAGCAGGCTGTGGAAAGCAGGGGCTGGGAGCTGTCTGGCTGGTGACAAGGGCAGAGAGAGAGAGAGAGAGAGAGAAGCAGGAGATGGAGAGAGCAGGGTATTCCTGCACGGTGCCGTTCTGCGTGGGTTTGAAGAAGACCTTCAACTGGAGAGATCTGAGGGACCCTTGTTCATGATGCGTGACTCATCTAAACCTTTGACGTGAGATGCAGCATCCTCTCTAGAAAGAAGCATGATTGTCTTGCGTGTCTGCTTTATTGACATCCCCGACTGCTTGACGCACTGATCACCGGAGGTGTGATGAATAGACTCTGTATGGGGACACTGGGTTCTCTCTCTATGGACTTACCGTAAACATTTCCACTGATCCAAGTGGCATTTAGACTGACTCCTCAGTTTGACTCTTCAGTCTGTCAGCATCTCCTCCACTCACCGTGGAGCAGGTTGGTGAAACGATGTGCCTTGATCTGAGGTTACCAGTTCTGCATGTCTCCCAGATGTAATTTTACTCTTTGTCGTCCTTGAAGGAATTTTCGATCTCGTTTCCATCTCGTTCGCTGTAATTTTTGCCTTCAAATCTGCCTCTTGTTGAATGTAGTCAATGGAATCGGGAGCATGCTTTTCATGCAGGTGAGGAGAGGTGGGCACATGTCTGCGTGCTTAAAATAGGTGTGAGAGGACAGCAAAATGAAGAGAATGAAGTCTGGGACAAAACATGAAGGTGTGAAAGAGCACAAAGGACATTAGCTAAATTTTTTTCCCACTCTAGGGAATGAGGTCACGGTTCACTTCTTTTTGACATACTTGCCTGAATTGTCTCGTTCTGTGATTTCTTTCTGTTGTGGAAGACATTGAACAAGCGAAGAAGAAGATTATTTGATTTATTTTCTGTCCTTGGTCTGTTGAGAAATTCTGGACCACATGAACCGAACCGGGACCTCACAGTCAAAAACCACCTACCTTATCTCCCTCACGCTGGTGAAGGTAGAAACCAGGTCTCCAAACTCAGTCCTGGAGGGCCGCTGTCCTGCAGAGTTTAGCTCCAGTTTTCCTAAACAAACCTGCCTGGAAGTTTCTAGTATGCCTAGTAAGACCTAACTGGTTCAGGTGTGTTTAATTAGGGTTGGAGCTAAACTCTGCTGGACACCGGCCCTCCAGGGCTGAGTTTGGAGACCCCTGATCTAAATGGTACATAGTAGTACCTTGTGAAAGGGTACTGCAACAGAGACAGCTATTGTATCTTTTTTTTCTGAGAGTGTATTGAATCAATTTGAGTGTAGTATTTACTCAGTGTAGTATTTAATCAAGCCCACTTGACAAACAGATGAGTCAATAAATTTGTCAATAATATTGCATGCCCTCACACAGTCACTTACTCATTCATACACACCTTGGCAAGGACAGTCAGTGCACAGTGCAGGGGGTTAGATATGGAGATAGCGAATGGGAGCCAGAGACTAAATGGAATCAGTGCATGAAGGAGGAGGAGTTTAGCCTTGGAATACCTTGGTAACAAGCTCAGTGTCTAGGAAAGGAAAGGTGGGGGGACACGGCGGCTCCTGAATCACTGTACTGACTGTGACTGTGATATGTGGCACGTTGCCGCCTAATACGGCACTGGATCGAGTGCAAAATTTGTTTGATTAATGTGTCAGTCTTGATTAGCGTTGCACGTAACCACTCAAATTGTGTTTTTCTTGAGCAGTTGAGCCTCTTTCCCTGTCAGAACCTTGCAAGCTTTACAGTCTGTCTTTATTCCTCAACACATCACTGATTCTTGCTTTTTAAGCAGGAGAGAGTGTGCAAGCAAGAGAAAAAAGAGGGAGAAGGCGAGCGAGGGAAGGAGGGAGGGAGAGCGAGAGGAGGGGGGAGCAGGCTGTGGAAAGCAGGGGCTGGGAGCTGTCTGGCTGGTGACAAGGGCAGAGAGAGAGAGAGAGAGAGAGAAGCAGGAGATGGAGAGAGCAGGGTATTCCTGCACGGTGCCGTTCTGCGTGGGTTTGAAGAAGACCTTCAACTGGAGAGATCTGAGGGACCCTTGTTCATGGTGCGTGACTCGTCTAAACCTTTAGCGTGAGATGCAGCTTCCTCTCTAGAATGAGGCATGATTGTCTTGCGTGTCTGTTTTATTGACATCCCCGACTGCTTGACGCACTGATCACCGGAGGTGTGATGAATAGACTCTGTATGGGGACACTGGGTTCTCTCTCTATGGACTTACCGTAAACATTTCCACTGATCCAAGTGGCATTTAGACTGACTCCTCAGTTTGACTCTTCAGTCTGTCAGCATCTCCTCCACTCACCGTGGAGCAGGTTGGTGAAACGATGTGCCTTGATCTGAGGTTACCAGTTCTGCATGTCTCCCAGATGTAATTTTACTCTTTGTCGTCCTTGAAGGAATTTTCGATCTCGTTTCCATCTCGTTCGCTGTAATTTTTGCCTTCAAATCTGCCTCTTGTTGAATGTAGTCAATGGAATCGGGAGCATGCTTTTCATGCAGGTGTGGAGAGGTGGGCACATGTCTGCATGCTTAACATAGGCGTGAGAGGACCAGAGAACAGTGTTATGAAAAGAATGAAGTCGGCGAAGAAACATGAAGGTGTGAAAGAGTACAAAGGACATTAGCTAAATTCTTTCCCACTCTAGGGAACGAGGTCACGGTTCACTTCATTTTGACATACTTGCCTGAATTATCTCTTTCTGTGAATTCTTTGATTCCTTTTCCGCTGTAGAAGCCACTGAACATTATTTGACTCTTTGAATTTATTTTCTGTCCTTGATCGGTTGAGAAATTCTGGACCACATGAACCGAACCGGGACCTCACAGTCAAAAACCACCTACCTTATCTCCCTCACCTTGGTGAAGGTAGAAACCACTGAGGAAAATGAGTTGGAGAAGTCTAGGCTGGCTGTGGGGGGAGCAGTGTACGATTCCGATGGAGCGAAACATCTCAAGCACACTGGATTCAATAATGAGGGCCAGGAACGCCAGAAAATGGGTGAGGCTGTTGAGCTGGAAGCTGGAGAATCTGTCAAATTCTCAGTGGAACAGGAAATACTCCAAAGCCCAAGGGAGGACAAGGCACTTTTTGCAGATGGTGTTCATCCCGGAATTAGACAAAAATCAATGATCTCACCCACCACAGAGAATGGAAGAGCCAGAGAATCCACTGGAATGCCCCAAACCTCTTTTTCCCGGGATGTAGCTAGGCATCTTGGTGACATCCCAGTCCGTGCAACCCAGCGGCCTGTGTCGCTCCTTAAAGCTCACGGAGGTGGCCGTGAATTTAAAGAGTCCAGAGAGAGCATCCATGCCTCCTCCAAGAGCCTTGACCGTAAGGACAGTCGGACCAGGATCCAGTCCCCAACCAGCCCAACTCCTGGATCTTTTCGGGCATCGTGGGCTGTAAGCGAGGTGAAACCTTGCGATGAACACCTCAAAGGGGGTGTTGGGATGAAGAAACCCACTGAAGGGGACATCATAGCCATGCGAGCCCAAAGCCCTCGAGCAGAGAGATTAAAGTCAGGATCTACATCTCTTCCGACCCCTGTCACCTTGATTACCAAGCCTCAACGCAAAGGAAAGAGTCGCACCCTGGACAACAGTGACCTGAACTGTCTATCCGAGGACCTCCTGAAGTGCAAAGGTGGTCAAATGGTAGCAGACTTTAGAACAGCTCAGTCCCAGGGGGCTTCAGCACGTGACCGCAAAATGCTAAGATTTATTAGTGGCATTTTTACCAAGAGCACTCCAGTTGCAACCAGTGCAACCATTGTGACCCCAGTCTATAGCACCATTCAGAGGGAATCCAGTGAAGAGGAAGGTAGGAGAACATGACTTACTCATCCATTCACAACTGAAACTCTCAGATAAATAGAAGCAGGATTGTTTCCGAAAATGGGAGGGGGTCATGCCAGGTAGTTTGCACAGTTTGTAAATGAGGGCTTCCTTGTGTATGAACATCTGCAATCCATTTACAAGTTTTCTAAATGCTACGTTTACATTGAAGGGATTGTTCACCCAAAAATGTGTCATTCTAAACCTGAATTACTTTTTTTCTTCTATGAAACACAAAAGGAAAAAAGTGTTTTTATCCATGCAGTGAAAGTCAGTGGGGTCTAAAATATTATTGGACTCCACTTATTTTTATTGTCTGAAAATAAAAAATACTTTTTAAAAACATCTTTTGTATTCCACAGAAGAAAGAAAGTCATACAGGTTTGGAATGACATAAGGACTGATGACAGAGTTTTTATTATTTATTTAATTGATTTATTGTCTTGTTGTTTTAGTTGGCATTAATTAAAAAAATTGACATGTGGAAGTCTGTACACACATTTGGGGAATTCTGCTTTTATTCATTCTAATGCCTAGGGGTGTAGATTTAAGACACCGAAAGCATCCTAGCCTTTTCTTTATAACCACCCCCTACTGTTCCTGTTTCTGCACTGGAAAAATTGGAATGGTAAACAAATTTGATAATACCCATGCCACAGGCAGCATAATTTTGCCCAACATCCTAATCCCATCTTTGATGTTCCGCCCACTTCCTGTATTCTGATCTCATTCTTTCATGGAAGCTTCAATCCTTTCATCACCAGCCTCTTAATTTCAAACCATATCCAGCCATGAATTTTAGCACGCTAAACTGGAGGTGAAGCATTGGATTTTGTAGTGGAGAAATAACTCAAATACGCAGACAGTGTCTGTATCCACAGGCATTTCAAATCCACCCAAGCAAAGTAAGTCGGTTTTCCTTCTAATGATCTGTTGTAATGTTGCAGAGATGCCTTCAACTAATTTATATGCAGAGCTTGTTGAACAAAGGATTCTTTTCAAACAACGGCTATGTTTCTCAACAATATAGATTTGATAATTAGGTTCCTTATTTGGTAGAATATAATTGGTAATTGTACAAGTGAAATTCAATACAGGGGTGTGTGATCTATATGCTATGAGCAAAAGGTCTGATGTGTCTGTACACACAACGCATGCGCACACAAAATATTTACGTATGTGTTCTCCGAGTGAACAGAAGCAGTGGCTGGAGGTGGGGTTGTCATGGCAACAGGGAGGGCTGAGAGAGTTGCCTGTTGTGTGGCTGGGTTATGCTAGGGAGCGAGCCACAGATGAAATGAATGGGAGTGAGGGTATGCGAGGAGGGGTGCTTTTGAAAACGAGAGAGACCAGCTTTAGAATTTGACACATAGAGTGTCCGTTTAGATGGGGGGGGTGGCGTGGGGTATATGGCACATAAGGATCGCACTGTCTAACCGCACTGGCTCGCCCCCTGATGTTGTTCTTTCTCATCTCTTCTATGAAGACTGTCATTTAACCGTTTAAGGGGTATTATTGTTATCTTTCGCTTTTGTCCTCTTTTTCTTCTCTGGAAGGGGGAAGATATAAAAAAGAGGTGTTGGTGGAGGGACAGAGTCATTTATTGCTGATCCGAGAGGAATCTGGCCCACCAAGTGCACAGGTGTGTTTATTTCTGCTAAGTACACTTGAGACAGAAACATACTGTATGTAAGACAGAAATATTTGGCCAAGGTGTGCATCTTCCTCTTTTTTATACTAACATTATGGCGTTAACAAACTACCAGCAAGTTGTCTGGGCCATTAAACCAGATGTGTTTAACTAGAAACTGAAGAAGAATTTTTGCAATTACGTTACAATTGCAAAAATCCCTCGTGGAAAGATTAAGAATGCTGCATTCTTATGTCGTGTTATGAATTGCTTCTTTAAATTTAGCTTGAGTCAGTAACTTTTTCAAAATATTTTTGAAAAAAGTCAGCTTCACCAAGGCTGCATTTGGTTGATCAAAAATATAGTAAAAACAGTAATATTGTGGAATACTACTATTACATTTTAAAATAACAGTTTTTTTGTTTGAATACATTTTAAAATGTGATTTATTCCTGTGATGCAAAGCTGAAATTTCAGCATCATTACTCCAGTCTTCAGTGTCACATGATCCTTCAGAAATTATTCTAATATGCTGATTTGCTATTTATTTATTATAAATGTTGAAAACAGTTGTGCTGCTTAATATTTTTGTGGAAAATGTGATTTTTTCAGGATTCTTTGAAGGGGTCATGAACTGCCTTTTTATTATTTTTGCACTGTACTCTGAGGACCACTTATAATGTTATCAAGATTTTTACATCAAAATACATCATAATTTAGAAGTAATATGCTATTTTCTGTCCTCATCGGAACGCTCTGTTTGAATAGGCGTGGTGGATTGTAGACTCAGAAGTAAAAGCCCACTGCTATGATTGGCTTACAGTTGTGTATGTTTGACAGCCTACATCCTTCACAGATGGATGCATCCCACACACGCTGCTGTGATTTAGGTTAAAATCGCATAAATACTCGGTACATATCAAACGATCAATAATAATAGACAAAGTAATAGTGACCACGTAATAAAAACAGTTACTCACACTTGTATGGTACTGTTGGATCCAATAGGCTATATTCGGCACAGCATCGTCTTTTAGTTTCAATCTTTGCTTTGTTTATAAACAAATCCACAGTAAAATTAAGTGAACAAAGGACCAAGTTCTTATTGACGAAATCTGGATCTTCATTAAATATAAAATGAATCCACTCTTTCCTAATGTTATGATCAGAAAGAAGGAAGAGCAATGCAAAGACTTTTTTTCCACAACTTGGCACTGCACAGCATCTTGTTTTCTTCGGAGCATCTTTTTCATTTGGTTTCTGCGTTCTACGTTATTTGCACTACATGACATGTGCAAATTGGTGGGTGGGGCTAAACAGGCAGTGATGTAGAAGCAGGTGTTGATCTTCTTCTGTGGAGGCGGGGTTTAGCCACACTATTACGTCATGAAGTGACACATTCCACAACCTGTCATTTTGGCAGATTGGCTTCAATATAAGCTGTTTTTAGACTAAGTTTTGCGTTCTGAAACTTACAGGATGTTTTATAGTACAATGACCTCTTATATGTCAAAAGATCAAGGGAATTTTGATTTCTCAGTTCATGACCTCTTTAATGAATAGAAAGAAAAGCAGTTATTTGAAATTGATAACTTTTGTAACATTATAAAAGTCTTTACGGTCACCTTAATGCATTCTCCCGAAATAATTCCGGATAAATCAAACTTTTCTGACCCCAACCTTTTGAACAGTAATGTATTCTGCTTTAAAAGAATAGTTCACTCAAAAATGAATATTTGTTGAAAATTTACTCACCCTCAAACCACCCAAGATGTAGATGATTTTGTTTCTTCATCAGAGTATATTTGGAGAAATGTAGCATTACATCACTTGTTCACCAGTGGATCCTCTGCAGTGAATGGGTGCCGTCAGAATGAGAGTCCAAACAGCTGCTAAAAACATCACAATAATCCACAAGCAATCCATATGACTCCAGTCCATCAATTAACATCTTGTGACGCAAAATGCTACGTGTTTCCATATGAATATGAGTCCAAAATTTCTGCTAAATTTTTCCAAATCTGTTCCAAATCTGAGGGTGAATAATTTTTAGCAAATTTTCACTTTTGGGTGAACTATTTCTTTAAATGCTTCAGTCTTTTCCCTGTTTTTCATTTCTAAATTTGTGATTGTAGATCTGCAACTGGCTTGATGGCGTCATCCTAGTTTTTAGTCTGGAAAATGAAGCAAGTTTCCAGGATGTGTACAAGAACTACAGTGAGCTAAGTGCCCATCGTAACATAGCAGAAATCCCCATTATAGGAGTTGGAACACAAGGTAAGAGCTGTACTTGTCTTGGCTTCAGGGATGTTTTATTGAGCAATACGCTGTTGTGTACAAACCCGATGTCCGTTTTTCTTCCTGCAGATAAGATTAGTAGCACTAACGCCCGTGTGATTGAGGACAAGAGAGTCCAGCAGCTGTGTATAGATGTGCGTCGCTGCACTTATTTTGAGACCTGTGCCACATATGGACTTAATGTGGACAGAGTATTTAATGAAAGTGAGTTTCATCTCAAAATAGGGGCTAAAAAGGCATGTTACTTTCAGACCAAATGCAAGTGTTGATTGGACAAACTTGTTTCCTACTTAGTGACTCACAAGATTGTCGCTGCCAAGAAGCAAGCCGCCCTTCTGGCCTCCTGTAAATCCCTCCCAAACTCCCCGAGTCACTCAGGGGCCTCGACTCCAGTGTCAGGGCCCGGACAGGTATCTCAGGGCTCATGAGTCTGTCTGATGCTTGGGCGAATCTCATTAAAGCTGACAAGAAATGTCTAGGCCATTTTTTTTATTCGGGGGGTAATTCCCTGTGTAATTAATTTTGTTTTGTTTTGAAATATGACCCAGACATTTCTTTGTGAGATTGGCCCATTTATCATTATAATTATTGTCAAGTATTTTAATGAATTAAGTACCGTCATGGTGTTGTTCTTTCAATGTTGAGTATTGTTGGGGTGTAAAAATTTGCTTTGACAAAATATTCTGAAATGATTCATTTAATATTCTTTGCCGAATGATATGCTTTGCAGAAAATCTGAAATTTGGTCGCATTTTGGTTGCATTTTATTTATGTTATGTGATGATAATTTTACTCATTTTGAACATAAATAATTATAATAATTTAATCATTATTATTAAACAAGCTTTCTTGGACAAGAAATTACATGGTTATATTTTACTATAGATTAATTCTAAATGATTAAATTCCATATTTCATATATCCATTAAATTCATGTTCCATGTGAAATTTTCATTTTCAGATCAATACATTGCACATTTTACACCCCTGCTATTGAGTATTTGACTGTTTTGAGTGATTGTGAAATGTTTTTGTCTCTATCAATCTGTCTGCACCATTCACCACTCCAACCTCTGTCTCATTCTTCTCACCATCCCATCATCCTGTCTTAGGCCAGTAATGGGGGTCAGAGTAGTGATTACCCCTCCTCTTTGCCTTCTACCCCTGTGATAAATCACAAAGACATACGGGGTGGGGCAAGTGGAGATGGGGGCTCGCAAAGAATTCTGCCCCGACGACGGACATCTTTATTTGCGGTTAGTTCTTTGAGCTCAATACAAAGAGTTTCAAATCTTGCCAGTTAGATTGTGCAACACCAGTGAAACTCTGTGTGCAACGTTTATTACTATATCATTCCTAATTTAAAATAAAATTGGATTTATATCCGAATGATATATCAGAGGTGATTTGTGTACATTTTTGATGTTAAAATAATTTATTCTATCCTAATTTAACCAATGGCAGACTGGGAAACCTGTTTGAAAACAGTCAGTGTGTGGTCAAGTTCTTGTTGGTGCAGAAATTACACTCTTCACCTTCAAATGCTGTTATACAATAAAACAGAAGCATGACTGTATATTTAGTAATAGTTTCTGTTTGTGAACTCTCGTTGTCACTCTAACACTCACCTCATCTCATGAGTCACATCTGTTTCCTTTCTTCATGTGTTTCAGCTTCCTCTCATCTTTATTTAACGTGTCTGTTATTTTAGAACCGTCGTGGAAGTGATTCTGAAAAAAGAGCTTCTGATAGCAGAAGTGACATGAGCAGTCGATCAGTTCCTATCAAACAGGTACGTGTAAGATTTCAGTGTTGACTTAAAGATATGACGTGAGACTTCTGTGAAATGCAGTTGCCCCGGAAAGTATTTGGACACGTTGAAGATATTTAAAAATGTCTGAATCTCATTGCATTCTAATAAAAAAGAAGAAATAATTAATAAATAAGTAGTAATGAAATAATGAATTAAATAAATATATTTTTTTCCTTTTTTCTTTGTTAGGGGACTTTGTGGAAACGCAGTGAACGCTCTTTAAACAAGGAGTGGAAGAAGAAGTATGTGACGCTGTCAAACAATGGCATGCTTATATATCATTCAAATATAAATGTGAGTAACACACTTTTGCAGCACGCACTGTTTTCAACAGAGCATCAAAAATGTTCTTGTACCCTTTCGTTTTTAGAATCACATTTTGTGTTTTGCTGAAGTTTACCATGTGCTTTTTTGTTCCAAAATAAATGCTCAGTATTTTTAGCTTTATTTGTTGCATGTAGTGTCTATATAGTTTTTATCCTATACAGTCTATGGTTTTTATTTGTTTTAGTTAATTTAGTACATAACATCAAGTAGTTCAACTAATTTGGCAACTAGCTCAACTAAGTCTGAGTTTTTTATATTTTAAGTAAAAAAAAATGTCAAGTAACTTTTTATGGCTGTAGTTTTAGTTTCGGTTTTAGAAACTACTCAGTATAATCATATTAAACAATTAATATAGTACTGCGTATACTAATTTAATTTAAAATATTATGTTGAGTGTTTGATAATATAATATATTAAGACAAACAATTATTATGTATTTTTAATATAATAATTTATTATATATTATTATATTATTGCATTCTATTGTATAATTCTATAATATAAAAATTCCATAATATATTATATTATATATAATATAATTTTATAGAATTCTAATGTTATAATTATATTTTGGGTGTGGATTTATCATTTGGTTGTAAATCCAGTGCAAAAAAATATTTTCAAATATTACTCTGTTTGCTGGACTTTTTTTATTTTATTTTATTTTATTATTATTGAAAAATCAATAGTACTTCAATGAAATTGCATTATGGCATTTCTAAAACCCCAAAGCTGTTTTGTTGTGTTATTTTTGACTGTAGAAGAGAACCAGCGTATTTGAAATTCCAGATTGTGTAAGTATAGCTCATAATATATTATGTTATAGTTATATTTTTGTGATTGCAGGAGTTTCTGCAGAATGCTCAAGGTAAAGAGATGGACTTATTGCGAGTAACAGTGAAGGTGCCAGGAAAGCGTCTTCATCGTGCTGCTACTCCTGCTGGACCGTCCCCTGGCCCTACTCTCGTTCCTGTGCCTGGTGTAAATGGACTTAGTAAAGACAAGCAGTCATCTGAAGGTGGCGCTACATGTAAATGAAAACCCTTTTTTTACGTTAAAGGGTTAGTTCACCCAAAAATGAAAATTGGCTTGTGTTTTACTTACCCTCGATGCATCCTAGGTGTATATGACTTTCTTCTTTCAGACGAATCCAGTCGGAGTTATATTAAAAATTGTCCTGGCTATTCCAAGCTCTATCATTGCAGTCAGCGGGTGTTGCAGTTGAACAGTCCACAAGTCGTCAAATAAAGCTCGCGCATTCATAATAAACGTGCCTCACACGGCTCCGGGGGATGAATAAAGGCCCCCTGTAGCGAATCCATGAGTTTTTGTAAGAAAAATATCCATATTTCAAACGTAATAAACACTTTTCTCTCACTTCCGTTATCTGTAATACGGGGATCCGTTCCGGCGGAAGGCGTATGACGTATGCGCAGCACGCGCGCCTCTGAGATATGCTAGTCTCGCGAGTTTGTTTAATAGGAGCAAAGGAAGCAAATTTTCCTTACTTTAGCAAAGGAAAACCAGTCTCCTCTTGGTTTAGATCGAAATCCTCTGACATTTTTCTTTGCAAATCTTCGGTTTGTACTTCTAATTCATGACCGGCGTTTTGTTTTGTTCTCTCTCCACACTCGTCACTAATCACGCAACGCCGACGTGCTACGTCATCCGCCGGAGCAGCTTCTGCATATGACAGATAACGGCAGTGAGAGAAAAGTGTTTATTACGTTTGAAATATGGATATTTTTCTTACAAAAACTCATGGATTCGCTACAGGGGGCCTTTATTCATCCCCCGGAGCTGTGTGAGGCACGTTTATTATGAATGCGCGAGCTTTATTTGATGACTTGTGGACTGTTCAACTGCAACACCCGCTGACTGCAATGATAGAGCTTGGAATATCCAGGACAATTTTTTATATAACTCCGACTGGATTCATCTGAAAGAAGAAAGTCATATACACCTAGGATGCTTCGAGGGTAAGTAAAACACAAGCTAATTTTCATTTTTGGGTGAATTAACCCTTTAAAGTGACCTTTTCTCATTTTTTAAATGTACACAATCACAAATAAAATAATTTGAAAGATTTCTCATTGCCATGATTTTGTTTTTGTTTCTCTCTTTTTCCAGCAAATCTTCTGACTGTAGAAGAGGCGTCCAGAACTGGTTTGTCATTTCATAATGATCAAAAGGTGAAACGTTGCCCGTCATCTGTGTCTAATAAAGGCTTCAGTGTGGGTATGTAAATCATTTGTTTACATCTTCCACTCGTTCTTTCTAGCACAGTGTTGGAGAATAACTAATTAAAAGTTGAAATACTACTAATCTGACAATGACAGTAGTTCAGCACTATTTTCCAACAAGTAGCTGTGCAGCTACTGATTCATTTCAGTTGTTGATTCATATGCATACCAGTTCATTCTGACAGTTCATTTTAATCATTCTAGGTTTTTTTCTTCTAATTTTGTACCAAAATATTTAGTTAAATACAGAGGTTCATGACTGACAGTTTTTATTTTATTAGTTACATTTAGTGTTAATGTGTTTGTTTGATACTGTAAATTATTATTTATTACTAAATATATATATATATATATATATATATATATATATATATATATATATATATATATATATTTATATATATATATACATATATA